CCCTCACACCTGCTGAGCCAACGGCAACTGTGCAGTGTGTTGTGATCCAGTTTTATTTACAGGACATGATCAGAATATCAATCCTTGCCAACACAACAGATATGACTGCATCTTCATTAGATTACCTGAGGGATGGAACAAATATAAGTTTGCTCTTTTAGAATGAACAAAGATGGATTTATTTACAGAATCGGATTAGTAAGATAAAAATAATTAAATAAAGGTGAAATGATAAAAACATGGTGTTCTCATATTCTGCATCTGCACTGTCAAATCTTTGTCAAAGCAATAGAAGAACCACGTGGTGAATGTTAGATAGCAGATTAACGTTCCCCGGTGTGAAAACTGACACACTGACTGACATCAGAGCACCTCCACCAAACCCAAATTAGCACAAGTTTCCTGCTTTCTGCTTCCGGCTTCAAAAATAGTTCTGACGTACTGAGCAGGAGGTCTGAAGTGTTCTGTGTTTGACTTGATTAGAACGAGGCGTTGGGAGAACAGCTGTGAGGCTGCACCGGTGCACGTCATCTGCAAATTTTACCATTCAAGAGTGAGTCACAACCTGTTACTCATCGCTGCATCCTCACTGGCCTCGCAGTGACAGAACCAGGTGCTACACGGGTGCTTCTGTGCTAACCGGCTTCACTGAATCTGTGAAGCCCAAAGAGACGGGAGAATAAAGTAGAGTCAATTTCTTTTCTTCAAGTTTCAGAAAAGTAGGTGTAAATAATTCTGTGAATACTGAACATTTCTGCTTAGTTAATTAACCTTGTACTCTTTTTTTTTTTGTTTAGAGGATTAATTGTTCTTTGAAGTACACTTTTTAGTTTCTTGTTGCTTCATTGTCAATTTTTCAGTTTTTTCAAATCAGCAAAATCATTTTAAATATCAGACAAATGAGTAGTTTTCAAATGAGTATTTTTTAAAGGTGTTGAACACTTGTTTAATCAATACATTTGCAGTGGTCTAGTAGCAATAAATGCCTTTAAAGTTGTAGGAGGGGGCTGTATCTGCACAGAGGAGTCAGCTGGAGGAGAGCGTGGCAGAACATGGCAGAGTTTATACAAACACAGGCCATTTGTAGTCTTATTCCTGATATTTGGACGTCTTGCCTTTGATTAGATAACAGCAGCTCGACTCTACCACTGACTGCAACTTTGAAGTTTTATCTCCACAAATAACAAGCCTGGAGGAGTTTCGCTGTGTGCTGTAGTTGCTAATGTTAATGGTTAGCTTCTGCTAGCTGAGACATTCTCTGCTGATTCCTGGGCGCTAAACCAACAACAGCCTTACCTGTCGTGTATTCATAAATGTTAAGTGACAGTGTGATGTAGATCTGTCAGGCTTTTCTAACCTTAGAGTTTCACCGTCTATTTCCTATCAGAAGCTAATGCAGGAGATAGGTGTAGGATACATTCATGTTCAGTCTGAATGAAAAACTCAGAGTGATTGATTATAATCAGAAATGATCCTTAAAAAAAGAGTTTTCACTGTTGCACACCTTTAAAGGGAGAAGCCTATAAAAGCCAACATGTACCAATGAGGGGAAAAAATGGCACCATTGGTGAATCATGAATTTCATGTATTCATGATTTACCAATGGGGGTTCCCCCTCTTTGGGACACTCAGTTTCACTATCTACACCTAGGCATTGTTATTGCCAGACCTAATTTCTAAGTTGCTTTGGATAAAAGTGTTTGCTTAAATACATAAACATAAACAGATTTGTATAATTAAGTATGCTAAAAGATCTCAAAAAGCACACCCAGAACATCCAAAGTACCACAAGCTTGGGTGAGATAAATGTCAGAGGTCATGGTTTTTAGTGAGTTGGGGCAAAAATGGCAAACCTTGGGAAAGTTCAATTTCAAATCACTGCTGACCAAAAATAACCCAGATATTAGTCTCACTTAGGCCAACAATGTGTTGCTGATACATTATTTTGTGAGCTGACATAAGTATTTGGAAGGTGTTCAATTCTGTGTAAACTAACACTACATTTTTTAAAAAGAACTCATAAATATGGTGGTGGTGATGTGATGGTGTGGGGTTGCTTTGCAGCTTAAGCTGGGCGTACACTGTGCGACTTTTTCACTCGTAGCACTCAGCTTCAGCTCAAACTGTACGACTTCCTCGCAGGGCAGATCTCACGAGTCATGTGCTCACACTGCACAACCCAGTTCTCGCATGCGACCTGACTGCTCACACTGTACGTCTGGTAGCAACATGTCGGCCCTAAAAATATGCTAAAAATAGCAGTTTTTACTCAACACGTCAGACTTTTTTGTCTTGTTTTGCCTGTTGTCCTTCGGGAGTGCTGCAGGAGGACACACAGGGATTTATGGGGGTTGGATGAGGAAAACGAAATAAAGAAAGTAAGTCTGTGTTTTGTGATCAGTTTAATTTGACATGAACACGACAAACACGCTTTCTTGACAATCTTTGTGAATAAAAAAAACGTGTAGAAACAAAAACGAACAACGTGTGTTATTAGGGTAATAGCGGGCGAGCGGTGTTGATGCAGGATTGCGCATGCGCCATGAGCGGTTTTGATTCTTTTTGGGTCGCGGCTGCTCGCAGCTCCGCTTCAACAGTGCGATACCCTCACGAGGGACGAGCAAAATATCAAACACGCCAGAAGTCCATGCGAGCTCACGATTGCTGATCGGTAGCTGGTCACGTGGTGTTAATCGCCTCTCGTAACCCCCTGTACACTACACGATGCTCAGCGCAAAACTCGCCCCGATCTTGTGGATTCTCGCACGAGTGGAAAATCGGCTCAAAAAAGTGAAAAAGTCGCACAGTGTACGCCCGGCTTTAAGGACCCAGACGATTTCCTGCAAATAAAGCATGTCTGACCTTTGACCTTAAACACACCATTCATGGTGGGAAACGTTCCAGTGTGACTAAATTAAAACAATTCTGTAAAGAATAGTGGGACAAATGGCTCACTGGAGAAAAGAAACTGTTAAAATGTAATTACATTTGTTCCCAACAAGCGCTAAAACAGTTATTACGTTAGGAGGCCATTCCAGTTTCCACATAGGGCCAGGCTGGTTTTGATTGCTTGCTCATTTCATAAATTGAGTCATATTTGAAATTTGAATTTTACATTTGCTCCTGTTGTCTCTGACCTAGCTATGGTTTTGTTGGCTGATCTGAAACATTTGTGTGATAAAAAGGACAAAAACAGAAATGTTTGAGGACATAAATACTTTTCACCTGCAAAATAAAAAAAAAAGGGCAGCTTTGGTCTTCACTAAATACATCCAGAGATAGGTGTCCTCTTCGATTGTGTCTTTCCATCCTGTAATCATCTACAAGACCCTGTTTTAATTAAAGACTTTCAGGCTTCCGGCATATTTAACTGTTGACCATTTAACTGTTACGTAAGCTCATCTGATAAAGAGACACTGATTTGGTAATTACAAAAGGTTTGGCTTGTAGGTTAAACTCATTTTCAGTCAGCTATCTTAAGGATAATGAATTCAAATTTAGCCAATAAACTGGTCGTAGCTTCAGTTTCGATCGAAATTATTTAATTTCACTGCAATAAATTTAACTTTGTTGGGCGTGTAAATGGACTTGCCAATGCCCCCGCAGACATATGTACATGCTCTCAGTTAATTATTTAGAGTTTGAGTTCAAGAATTGTCCTGGTCGGTTACAACAGTGCAGTTTTTTATAATAAGTGAAATGAGTTTATAAAATCCCATTAAGATTTTGCTTAAAAGTGCTGTATATATGTTGTTGGTTTTTTTTACAACTGATGAATAAAAGGCACATTTATGTACGAACAAATCAAATGTTTTCAGGGTTCTGTTGAGATCTGAATCCTTTTACAAGCCGAGGTGTTGAAGTGTCTCACCGTCTATCTGTCCTATTATTTCAGCAGTAACTGCGGTGATTCTTTAGAGAAGCAAGCCAAGGCACTGATTGATGCCACAAATTAGAGCAAGGAAGGAAGCTAGTCTGCCACGCCTGCTGCATCTCCCCACACCACCAAACGTTTTGCACTTGCTGTTTGGCTGTTTAGCCTGAGATGAGACACGTATCAGTCATATTCACAATGCACATTGATCGAGTGCAGGTGTCATCCGGGTAATGATGAGTGAAAATGCATAGAGAGCTAAAAGATTTATTTTCAGGAAGAATTTTCTTGACATAACTTGTGTAAAATGAGTTTTCTTTTTTTCTTTTTCGATAGGATCACAGTAAGAAAATATAGGAAAGAGCAAGTCTGAAATTATTCAAAAAATTACAAAGACAAGACCAATAATTGATTATTCTGTAATATTATTGTAAGATACAATTCATTTTTATGTTTTTCAGTCCATGTTGAAGGAAAGATTGAGTAAAAGAAAAGTTTAATGATGATAAATCTTCTATAATCATGTTCCAGCTAGGCAGCAGGTAGACGCAGTTTCCTCACGATGCACACTGTCGCTACGACAAACTCAATTTTCTGTTTGGGCTTGTGTGGGTTGGAAGACTTAAAGACTGTATTATAATGATACAGTTTTTGCTACTTAGTGCAAGGACCAGATACACAGCTTCCCTTCACAATACAAACATCTCATTCTATGAATAAGAAAACAGCAGCCAGCCTTCCTCCACCTCCCTCACTAGTGCAGAAAACAAACTCAAGCCTTTAGTTTTGTCCCTCTGGCTGTGGCTGCCAGTTATGGAAAGTCTCAAATCGTAGTCTAAATTCGACTCAGCAATCATTCTGCAAACAGCAGGTGATTGCTGACTTTGATAATGTCATTGTTCATCATGGCTTCTGAATTTAGTTTCATATGCCTCAATGAACCAGCTGTGCCATCTGCTACTTGCACAGTTGGGCTGCAGCATTTCTTATCTTTTTATTTACTTATTTATTTCAGCAGGAGCTGGGTTCTTGCCCTTCTCTTTTACTCGTGAATTTTTTTTCAATAATTTCCCCAAGAAATAAATGTATGTGGCTTTAAAAAAAATTATATATATATATATATATATATATATATATATATATATATATATATATATATTGTGTTTTTTTCTCAATAAATGGAACCTTCTTTTACATATTATTCTCCATCCTTCAAAGACATTCGAAAAGCTGTAAAATCTTCATTTGATTCATTTTGGCAACATGCAAAGGTGGCAACAGTTCATTTTGCCTATTGCCACATCCCTCTATTTCAGTAAAATAAATATAGCTCAAAGTGCATAATCTCTATCAGACATGTTTGTTGGTAACGTACAATAGGCCTAGAAAAACCCCTTCCACAAACAACAAGAGTCCCTTTAGGTCAGCTCTTGGTATGACCAAACTCCACGTTCTAATCCTTGGCAGACATTATTTTGAGGGACTTTTCCAGTTGTTATCCTGGGAGTTTTTCAGTGTTAACGACGTCCTGGAATGTCAGCCATCTGGATGTTGTCTCCTTGGAGTCCCGGGTTGTAGTAGGCTGAACCTGAACCACCAAACTTCAAATCCAAAGGTTCACAGTTGTCTAATCTGAGGACTGGAAATTTGAAAATAATTGTTAATTAAATTGTCATGATGGCAATAAGATCTTTTCAAAGCACTGACTTCAGCTTTTAACTGGAAGTGTATGCGGCGTGTAATGAAATAGATGCATTTTACCCACAATCTATCCTCCTATGGGAGTGTTTCAAACAAAATCTTTCCACCCAGCTGGTTCGTGGAGGTCACAAAATAACAGAAGAATTGCAGGACCATGTGTGATTTTGACAGTTCACATGATAACAATCAAGGAGAAAGACGGTATCCAAAAATGTCTGTGGTTTATTTTCTGTTCTTTTTACCTCAGCTACAGGGGTTTCACTGTTAATGATGGATTTCTTTTTACTAGTTAAGCAAACTGAATACTTCACAAGCTTTTATTTTGAAAAGTTCTAGATGTTTTGCACTGATTTCATGTTTTACTTTCTCTCTTGCCCGATCTCAACTGAGCTTGATGCGTTCTGGAAACGTAGGACATAAAAATTGGACTTGAAGCAAAAATCTGGGATGCTTCCAAAACCATCAAGCAGGGGTGTTAACTCCAGTCCTCGCACACCGGGACCCCACATCTTTTTGTTGTTTCCCTGTTCCAACACAGTTCATTCACCTGTGCAGCAGCTCATCAAGCTCTCCAGAAGCCTGTTAATCACCTGATGATATTGTAGTGACCCCGAGCGTCTCAGCGGCAGTCCTCAACTCAACCAGCAGGAGGCAGTAGTGGTTCACACCAGATCTTTATTAGGCTTCTTCTTCCACCCTTTGTAACGCTACAGACACCGAACTTCTATCACGCTCCTACCACACAGAGTCACGTGTCAGTTAACCATGCTAATTCAACCCGCTCCACAGACCACACATCACCTTCCCTGTGGCTTACATTAACATAACACTCAAATCAACACATAGAAACTAGCAGAATGTTAGGAAACACATATAACACAACACCCAGAATGCACCTGGCTTACAACCCCAGCCAGGTCATTACAATATAAATCAGGTGTGTTGAAACAGGGAAAACACTAAACATGTGGGATAGCGGCCCTCGAGGACCTGATACCTGTGTCATAAAGCATCATAGCCACTAAAATGGTGGCTAACTGCTGCGTTATAAATTTGATGTATGCTTCAGAAACATTTCACAGATGTTATGCAACACTTACGTTGGTTACGTCCAGTGAAAAGGCCCAGTAAGACTGGATTCACAGGCATTTGTTTGTTTGTTTGTTTGTTTTAAAGGGAAAATAACTTTGATAAACATCATGTCATGATTTTCTGCTGAATAGTTGTTTCCCAGAAGGTTATTTTTAAATAACCCATCCAAAAATATGTCCAACATAAACAGTAAATATATTTCAGAAAGTTCACCCTTCTTACACCCAATACTGTTAGTATTTATTCTCTTCTAATAACTTCTTACTGCTTTTGACTGAAGCTTTTGCCTTGTATGTTGGGTTAGAGAGTACTTCCTGCAGGTCCCTGCCCTACCAACATGACTTTTCCACCAACATCAACAACAGCTGAAGCTCGCACAATCGATCTGGCAATCCCAATGCTACCCTGACATGAATGACTCAGGGCAGCCCCTAAATCTGTTTCTGTGTGTGTGTGTGTGTGTGTGTGTGTGTGTGTGTGTGTGTGTGTGTGTGTGTGTGTGTGTGTGTGTGTGTGTGTGTGTGTGTGTGTGTGTGTGTGTGTGTGTGTGTGTGTGTGTGCGTGCGTGTGTGTGCGTGTGTGTGTGTGTGTGTGTGTGTGTGTGTGTGTATGTGTGTGTGTGTGTGCGTGTGTGTGAGAGAGAAGGCAGAATGGAGTCGGTATTGTGTTGTTTAATTTCACATAAAGGTTGAGTATCAGGGTGCTTAGGGGACGTTGTGACTGACAAAGTACCTTCTTCCTTTATGCTCATGACAAGTATGAGACAAAATGTTGGCTATTAGAGAACATGATCCTATTTCACATGGTGAGGTTAGCTCATTATGGTGAGGTTACCTTATTAAAGCTGGATGAGTAATGCAGCTCCAGCCAGCAGTTGGTTACGACACAGACTGGAAGGGATAAAATCTGCCAACCAGCACATCTAAAGCTCTCCTATAAACAGATGTTGATTGGATGTGGATCCTGTCTCCTAACATTGCTGAACTTGTGAAAATGTGTGAGTGAATGAGCCTAGTCTGTTAGATTAATTTTATAGGCCACACAGACTAACAACATTTTTCAAAGTTCTGTTTGTTGTCTAAAGTCTGATCCAGATGGAGGAACCACCGTACCTGGATCTGAAGGAAACTCCTCAACCAGCTTTCTGTGTGTGAACCCTTTCTGGTGCTTCTTCTTCAGGACGAGGTAGGCCACCACCCCCACACATGCGGCTGCTGCCGCCGTTCCCAGGATAGCCACCCAAGCCACGTTCCTTTTTCTCCTGTATGGGTCTGAATCCATGCCTTCATTAGAAAAAAATGAGTGGGGGTTGAGAGGGTGGAAAAGTGAATAATTTGTCAACAAATAAATTATTTATGTCAACTCCTGTCTTTGGGGGCTAATTGTAAAATAATTATGGCAGAAAATGGGTTTTTGAAAATCTGTTTGCGGTAGTAGCACACTCCATAGATGCACATCCCAATTAGTCTGGATTGCAGAATTTACACTGTGATGATTAATGCAATTAACATGCCAAAATCACCATAATTCCTTGAATAAATTTGAATAATTTAAGGTGGCATGCTGTGTTCATCTAAATAAGGTTCATGGGCCTGACTGCTTCTTGAAAGGCAGAACAGATTCAATCTCTACGTGAATCACTGGGATGTAATAATTCTATGTAGCTGTGGTAGAGAGCTGGGAAATTGCAGAAAACATTAAAATAATTGATTTTTAATAAATGCCTTTTAAAATTTAATTTTTTTATTATTATTTCTAAACCTGGCATCTCCAGGAAGACACTTTGAATTCATAAAATGCCTAACTCCCTTTTATGCTTTGCATAAAAACATGGAATATAAAATTGATAATTAATAACTAGAAAATATTCTACAATTTTTAAAAAGACAGACGTGTTCTCAACATTCTTTGACACAACTATGCTACATTTTTATTTGATGAAGATTATCGTATAAAACAACTCAGTATTTACCCACTGCTTGATTCTGTTTACTCCTAAACTGAGGCAATACGAAGCAAAATATAAAGTATATTTGTCGTCTTGTTGTCACCTCATCTATAAGCTAAAAATACACGTTTCTATGAATTGTCACTCCACCCTAACATTCTTTTAGGAGGAGAGTGTCACAGGATGAGTAGGAGATGGTTAGGACCCAAAATGCAGATACCCCAGGATGACTCGAGGCAGGAGATGATATAAAGAAAAATCCTTTATTTTGAAGGATGAACAAAAATAAATCCAAAAGGAGGGAGCCAAAAATCCAAAAACCCTGAATCAGGAGAACAAAAGCTCACTTAGAGCATAAACTGGGGACAAGACACAACGCTCACACAGAGCACCCAAAAACCACGCTGACAACAACAATGGAACGACAAGACACTGACAGGGCTTATATACACTGGGACTGGAGTGATAGGAGATGAGGAGCAGGTGTGTGGGGAACTGGCACAGGTGAAACCAATAATTAGAGAAGGAGCAGAGAAGGACACCAGACCTGACTGGGGAAGGACTCTCTCTCTCACACACACACACACACACACACACACACACACACACACACACACACACACACACACACCGAGCTGGGGAAGGACACACACACACACACACACACTCACACACTGAAATAAAAGACCTATAAAAACTCAAGTGGGGAGACAAAGAGACATGAAGAAAACCAGGAGGGAGCTGGGGACAAAAAGGCTGGAGCTACAAGAGAAGACACATAAAAGAGACGCAGACAAAGGACACATGAGGGCGCTTATGAGACCCAAAATGGGAACCTAGAGGATGGAGAACACGAGTAGACACATGAGGGAAGACGCAGACATGACACATGACAGAGAGGAAACATAGATCTACTTTATGCTAAGCTACCTCACAGCTGGGATTTTTTAAGTCAGCTCACAACACACGAGATAATAATGAAATAAAGGCATGTTGTCCACATCGTCCAGCCTAACCACTAAACTTATACTTCTGTAGGAGTCTGCCACTTATCTAGCAGGTTTCCTTAGGAGGGATGAGTTAGGTGGTGTGTTAAGTAAAAACTGATATTATTATTATTGAAATAATATTAACTTCTTGACTGTTAAAACATCTGGTGCTACTAAAGAACAATTAAACGCAGGGTTCATCCTTTAACCTTGTCATCCTGTAGCCTTTCCAGGGAGGAAATAACCTTTGAGCTGTTTCTGGCAGACCAAGCGAGTCGGTTTTATCTGTAACAATCCCATGAGAAAGTTTTTGATTTAGAGCATGCACCTGGGCTGAGACAGACTCTCTTCACCAGCAGCTTCCCGCCAGAAAGTCTACGTAATAGCTTAAGGAATGTGAATTGTGTGTGTGCTTCATCTTTGTGTGTGCTAATAAATGCTTTCGGAGGACGTCAGTCTGGGAGAGTGAACTGAGACCCTTGCTTGGTGTGTATTGATTCCTCTCCACTTTGCAAAGTCTATATTGATTGTTTATGATTGGTATTGGTGTTGATTGATTTATTACTATAACCCCCTGTGCATTAAACTTTCCCTAAGGTAATCCTGGATTGATAACACCCAACAGGTGGTGGGCCAGTAAAAGAAAAGTGAATTTCACAAACTTTACTAAATCTGTCTTCAGACTTGAGGTTCAGTGCTGGCTTCTAAAAACTAAATGAAACCGACCAGTTGCCTTTTCTAGACTTTTCTGTATCACCTCTCTTGACTGAATAACTATCAGTCAACTATTTTCCTGCCATTCTCATTTGTTAGTGTGAACTCTGTTTACAGTGAGAGCCACAGCTGTGTGTGTGTGTGTGTGTGTGTGTGTGTGTGTGTGTGTGTGTGTGCGTGCGTGCGTGCGTGCGTGCGTGCGTGTGTCAAGAATCTCCCAATAAATTTTAATAAAAGACCCAGAAAGTCACTGACCTTCCTGCCACGCAGCCATGGCGGTCACCTCATGGTGCTAAATTAGTCAGTTTTACATGATATTGAGGTAAACATTAATAACTCACAGATGTAAGAGGATCTTAATTTACAAATCGTCAAAGTGAAAGTTGGCAGAATGACACCTCCAAACACTGCTAGGATTTTTATTTTTATTATCTGAGTCTAGCTACAAACGTCTTCATATCAAACTGAAATAAATGCTGAGGGGAAATTTTTTAATTCTAAGTTGAAATCTTAGGGTCAAACAGTAAATTAACTCTGAGCTACCGTTGAATGGTTGAGTGTAACACCAACATCCAAATGCACATTTGCACTTAAGTGTTAACGTCCATCTTTCACCTACCTGGAGACTCTATTCTTCCATAACTGCTGACACCCACAAGCAATGGCGCCCCCAAGGGGTGACCAGGGGTGTTTGTAAAATCTAAGTTATGTGTTTTGGGTATGCGTTGTTTTTTTTTTCTTTGTTTGTTTTGTTTTAAATAAAAAGTAATAAAGGAGCAATGCAATACATCGCCACAGGCTAAACTCTCCCGGACTTACCACAAGAACCAATTTGGTGTGCCACCCCAAAAATATCCTTGGCCCCGTCTAGCCACCCCTATCAAAATTTTCTGGAGGCACCCCTGCCCACAAGCACAGAACAAAGCAGAAGTATTACAAATCAGAAGACTAATCAATAGATTAAAATTCCTGCCACCATCACAAACGTCTGTACCACTGGTGAAACTTACTGATTCATTCATTTTTATCTGGACAATTCCTACTGAAATGTTACCTTGTGGCCACTAATGCTACTATGAGATAGGTATTCATAGATGGGTGGATTTTATGGGATGTTTGACAGACTTTCATTCACATATTCAATTTTAAGAAAAACCATCTGACTTTATCTTGGAGCACCATAAAACTTTATCTCTGAATGGGAGAAAAAAACTCCTAAGACTTTTGACTAAATAGTTAGATTTATGAAAGCACCCTGATGATGAAGGTTATATCAATAAACCATGTGCTCATTGTTTGAATGACTTTTGCATTAAGCTCGAAGCCACCTAAAGCTGCTACAGTGGCGGCTCTCATTGAGATCAAGCACCAGAGGTGAGTGGGTGTTTTTGCTTATTGTGGTTGGAGATCACATTTATATAGGCTTTGTTTATTTGCAAACAGCAGTGGGTGTCTTTGCACGTTTTGTCCACACACTGGGCCTGTCATGATAACTGTGGAGATTTTGTTTTGTTTTCCTGGATCGCCCACAGTTTCAGAACTGCCTTCCTGCTGTTTATTGCCAACATTTGTTAGTGTTATGTCTTGCTGTCACATCTGTCCAAGCGATGCAGGTTTTATTTTAATCCTAACTCTGCACCAGCCCTTTACAGGCCTTTTTCATTGGTGCTCAACTTTATTCTGCAGTGGCAGTAGATTTTCGAGTAGCTGCACAGCTAAAATAAAAAAAAAATTAAAAAACAAGCAGTGAATTGCACATTGATTTTCACTAGTGCAAATAAAAGCAGCCTTTATTTTTCACTCAATCTCCCAAATCTGGAGGTCATCACCAAAAGCTGGTCTCACGCTCCGGCACAGAGGCAGAATCTTCTTTAACCTTAGTCCCTTGCTGCCTTTTTCAAGCCCTTTTTTGTAGCTAAAACAGGGTTTCATTGTCCTGCTGAGAGTATGGTTGTAACAGACCCCTTCTCTCACAGTGGCTACATCGATAAAACTTGAAACTCAATCCAACCTTCGCCTTTGAAAGAGCAAGTATTTGTCCTCTGCCAGTGGGAACATAGATGCAGCCAAATGTGGGTCAGAGAAAGGACGGGAAAAACCCATCGTGTCAAATCTACAACAACGATAAAAATGCTTGATCAGGGTGCAAAGCAGTGATCTTTGAACGGTTTCGTACATTTTTAGAAAATAAATTTGTCACACCCATTTTGTCTACACTGATTTTAATTGAGTTTTTTTTTATCAAAAGCCATAACCTTTAAGCAGACAGGAGTCAGCCCACTCACTATTTTGCACACAAAATCACTTTGAAGCAACATAATTTAAGGAAAAATCATTCTTGATGTGAAACAAACTGATTGAGCAATCTGGGGGGAATGTTCTTTTTAACACCTTAATCTAGCAGCTGCCTTTATTAGTTTCTAGAGGAGCAGTCCTCTATAAACTCAAATAAATCAGCGGTGTGTATGATATTAAACATGCAGGAATCGGGCTGGAGGCAGACTGCAGCACCAGACAGTGTTGGGAAAGTTTGTTTAAAACACGAACTAGTTCAAAGTTAAGTTCATACATTCTAAAATGAACTAGTTTGTTTTTTAGTTCATAATTTAAAAAAATAATATATATATAACTTATGAAATATTTTTCCTATTGTTCGCACCCGTTCAGTCCACACTCATACCCAGCTGCAGTTTTTACCCTACAGTAAATTCTCAATAACATGAGGAAAACATTATTTGAACATTTCTTTATGGGAAATTATTAAACAGTCTTAGCAGGCTGAGGTAGCAAACTAAACATATTAAAAGAGCAAAACATTAAAAAAATGTATAATCTTTCAGTTAAGTCCCTTTTCAATTTTTCTGAATGAACTTTGACTCCTGCACGCAGCATAGACTTAGATGAGTTGACGCCGCACCAACCGCTACTGCCTACGTTTGGCCGCGTTTGAGGGTTCTACTTTTTATAAACTCTATGGTTAACAGGATGTTTTAGCTAGGCTTTAGCTATGGAAAAGCTCCATGGAGATCTGGAGCTAGAACGGCAAAAGAACGCGTTCACAAACCCATTCACGCACGCCAGGACGAACGCGTTCACTTTTATGTTCGTCAGGCAAAATACAAACGAGTTCAGTTCACGTTCACGGAAATATCAAACAAATTCACGAACAATCGTTCATTGAACGCGTTCGGGCACAACACTGGCGCCAGGTATGTACGTTTTTTTCTAAATTCACAGGTGACGGCCCGTCACTCTGAAGTTGCAATTGCGGTATTCTGACCACAGCGGGTGGAACGGGTCTGACCGAGATTTCATTATTCCTGCGAAGAGACATTTTAGCACAAACTGCCTCAAGATGAGGTAAAATATGGAAAAGTTTCATAGTAGGCCATAGTAGGTACATAAGATGTATATGAACTACTGGTAAATATTTGGTTTTAGATTATTTAAAAATTATATAATTTGCACCAATCCTGATTATTCAACGAGAACTGCAGGACGTTAACAAACTGAATTCCGTTTTATGTTGATGATTCCAAATTAATTCCCTTTGACAGAAATGATCTTGTTTTATGTTCAAACATGGAAACCATAATACCTGATTCTCCGAGATTATCTCGTCCTGAGAAGATCCCGCCACCGGTCTTGTTGGCCCTCTCCGGTGTGTTTGGGGCAGCTGTGGTTGTGATCAGGGTCGTGTTTGTGGTTTTAAAGGGAACCACCATCGTGGGCAAATACCCGACGGATGTCTTGTTTGTCTCTGGTGCTGACGTGGTTGTTGCATGCTTGTCAATAGATCCGGTTCTATTAGCTAACCCTTTATCTGCATCTGCTGCTGTTGTGGAATGTTGAGTGGTTTGGTTCTCTGGAGCCACAGTTGTTGAAGGTAACACAGGTGTATCAGAGGAACCTGGAGGACTGGTGGGCTTTTCTGTGGTCCTGGTTGAATTAAATCCCTCTTCACCTTCACTCATGTTGGTTTTGGTTGAGTTGGTGGAGTCAGTAGTTGCATTAGCTGGAGAAACAGCAGCGTCTGGAACTTCTGGGTTCTCTATGGTTCCGTTTACAAAGGGCATCAATTTATTAGAAATGTTCGGCTCAGTTGTTTCATTTTCATTCTTTTTGAGTGTTATCACGTTCTCCTCTTCTTCAGTACTTCCTGCCATTGATCCAGATGCTAAACCACTATGCTCACTAGCAAAATCCGAGGCATCTGTCCTAAAGTCAGATTCATTCATTAGGGGAATCTCGGTGTTATCAAGTGCTTGGATGACCGGCTTACGATACCAGCTTTTATCAATCGTACGTCCTGGCGAGTCGGTCGTGGTTTGAAGCGACGCCAGGTGAAACGCTTGGAGAAGCATAAGGAGGCATGCGGTGGCTTGTAAAGGTTTCATTTTCCTGTCGGGTTCACGCTGAAACACAAGAAAATAGGAGCAATATTTAGGTTTTACATCACTGACATTTTACAGCCAAATCACATAGTTAATGGATAAAACAATGATCTTTTCACAATAAAAACTGGCAGCAACAGGGATGGTTCTAGAAGAAAGAAGTGTGACAGATGTTTTTATCATGTTTTGCAGCCTTTTAGCTTCCAAAACAAAGAATCTCCAACAGCTGTTTTTTTTTTCTTGAACACACTTCTTACTTGACTTCTTGGAAAAAAGTGTTTTCTGTTTATTTCTTGCAAAAACATAACACAAAATTAACCAAGAAATGTTTTACATCTTGTCAGTGACCTAGTGGTATGAGTGTCTGCCCTGGTACTGGGAGATCAGGCTTCAATTCCCAGTCAGTTCATACCAAAGACTTTAACAATTGCCAACACCAAATAGTAGCTACAGCTGCAGCTCACTGCTCACCACAGGTTGGGTCTAATGTGGAGGTGTGATTTCACCAGTGTGTGATGAATTCATGGGACTTTAGCTTTGACCTAAATGAAAGTTACTTTAATTCATTCCTCAAGTTATAAAAGTGGTCAAAACATGATTTTCCAAAACCATCCTGTCACCCCGGCTGATGTTTAACAAACAAAATCATCTGCACCACCCACTTGGTATGCTCCTAATCATCCTACTTAATAAGTGGGCCCAAATTTTCACAAACTGATTCTATTTTTTTTTCAATAAAAAATATTTACAGATTTAGATGGCAAACTAACTTGTAAAATTTTATTTAAAGAAAGTGAGAATGGATAAGACAGTTAATTAAGAAGAGTTCAACTAAAATAGCCGGAACAACAACTATTATTATTATTATTATTATTATTATTATTATTATTATTATTATTATTATTATTATTATTATTATTATTATTATTAAGTCATATTTCTACAACAAGCTGGGGACCATGAGTTCCTCTGAACTGTTTGCAATTATTTAACTGAAGAAAATTATTTGTTAAATAATTTATTAATTTGTGATTGTGCAATTATTATTTATTTATTTCCCATCACTGAAACAGTTTCTTGATCCACCAGTGTAACCTCTCTCCCCATTCCAGAAATAAATAAATGAAAAAAGGAACCCAGTGTACGTGTATAACTGTAAAGGACACATCTTTGTCTGTCTCTCGTGGGACAGAGGAGACCTTAACGCTGAGACGAGACATCCGCTTTGCTGTTCAAAGACGTGTCAGACAGTCAGGACACTCTTTTAAGTGCCAAGTCGGGAACTTTCATATAGCTGAAACATGATTAAACAAGTAAATGTCAATTCAGCAGTGCAGGTGGTCAGTTACACACACACACACACACACGCAAGCACGCACATGCACGCACGCACGCACGCACGCACACACACACACACACACACACACACACACCACACACACACACACACATTTATCATCCTGATTTATTTGCTTTAACTACAAATAATTCATTCATTCATTTAATTTACCTGCTGTGTATAAAAGAGAAATGTTTAATTTATTTTTTTCTTTGATGTTTTTCTCATGACTCCTGACAGGCAGTTCCAGAGTTGTTAAAGTTATTTTTGACACCTTTCAAACTCACCTCACCTCGGCCACACCGAAAGACTCAAAGCACAACAACAGATTTCTGCTTGCTCCTATTTTTCACAAATTTAAAAAGCTGCAGACTTTAATAGCGCAGGTCAGCCTCACTGACTTGAGTCATATTGGAAATCCTTGAGGAGTTGATCCGATCCCACTTTCTGACTTCCAGAGACCCTCTCAAATGATGGTTAACAACTCTGGGACCAGGACAGCCTCAGCTACATCAGGAGTGTGTATGCGGATTTCTTTGCAATAACCCCCGCGGTGCTCCATGGTTCAACAAAGTCTCAACACAGTCTCCAGAGAGATATGTGACTTATTGACAGGGTGAATTAACACAAATGCTCTGTGAGCTTTGTGTTTCCCCCAGAACTCCTACATACAAATGGCAGCAGCTCCCTGCAGGGCATGCTTGCTGAGTCTCTTTGTTGATCAGCTGCTTTGTTCCTTCTCATCATCGCTGTGAAAGGCTCCATCTACAGTATGCCAGGTTGGAAAGGAGGACAAGGAAATCTGGGGATTTTATTTTTAGTTTCACCTGTTATAATATCGCTTTGCTTCCTGAAAACAAATTGAAATCACTTTTCTGTTGTGAAATGACTGTTGATCTGTCACGCAGCTAACTGACAAACGCCAATTAGCATAAACGTTAATCTGTGGGCAATTTCTCCACAAGCTTGTTTGTCATTCGCCATTTGTCTATTTTTTTCCAATCTTTGAGACATAAATGGGAAAGCTGTGGGCGGTTGCTGGCTTCTGCCTGCTGCGTGAAGGCTGGATCAATCAAACCGTTCATACGTGCTTATATTTAAGAAAATGGTTCAAGCCATCAGGACGGAAAGGAACACCTTCAAATGACGCTATTTTACAAAAACAAAACAAAAGGCTTTGTGTCAACGAGATCAGCCAGTTGTCACGACCTTCTAGGTCGCCGAATTTAAACATCAAGATGAAACAAAAAAAGAACGCAACAGGGTGAGAGACACCTGCCATGCAGCATATTTATATTAAAGGGACATTCCACTCCAAAATGAAATTTTGTTATTTGCCCATGTTGTGGTCCCCAGAGTTAGATGACAGGGGACATCTATTTTGTAACCAGCTCAGTCATTCTCCTAATCTGGCAGTAGTTAGCTTTAGTTCAGCGTGAACAGTGTAAGTGAATGGGAACCGCTAGCATTTTGTTAGAAAAAGTCATGAAAATGGCTCAGTAATTATACAAATTTTTCTTGGTGACCTTAATAATCTTGTCGACTGCAAATGAAAATAACTAGTAACATGAAGGAATTTCAGGAGCCGATTTGGACGTGGGACTACATTATGACAAAGCACCGCTGTAACCTGCCGCTGCAAGGCGCCAGGACATGACGCAGCAGATTTTCCCCACATATGTAACTCTAGCAGCAGACACAATTTCAGATTTCATTCTCCAGAATCCAGAATGTGTTGCATTTTTTCCTCCAGCCTTAGTGTTCCTGATGCTTAGAACATATTGTCAGCAGGAGAAACATTTAGATTTTATATAACTGTTCTACAGTTTTCCTCCCACCTGTGAAATAAGAAAAGCAATCAGGAGTTTGAGTTCATCTTCTTGAGTTTTCACAAGTTTTTGTTTGTTTTAATTTCATTCAACTCTCTAACTGTGTCCCCGTTGTGTACATACAGCTCATCTTTCTATGGTGCCATACTAACTTCATATTTGGTAACTGACTCTAGAACATTCTGTTGTTAAATACACTTGCAGATGACTCAAACTATAAATAAGACAAGTTACCGTAGAGCAGGTTGGACAGGTCAGTCCGTGGTGTGAATGGTTTGTTTTGGTTTGCTTCATGAATATGAATCTAGCATCACTAAGCAAACAATTCTGATCACGCAAACAGAAGCGGTGACTTCGAATCTCATCTCAGGAACATCACAGGTGACCCGGAGTTTTTCAGAGCAGTTGGGAGACGGATGATACCAATATGTTGAGCCCACACATGATGGTTTCTTAATCCGATACTGGTGTCACTTCCTGTTTATCATGTTATCCCTACATCCTGCAACACTGACTCTCTGAGAGTGTGTTTGACCGCGGGCGTCGCACCAACAAACCTTTGAGAGGCAGCAGGTCGAAAAGACGAGGAGACATGTTTACCTCTGACCTATCACGCTCCAGGAAGCCTTTTCTGTTGAGGAGAGCTCCCGCTCTGCTGGTCTGTCAGAGTCAGTAAGAGCTATCACCTGAACAGCCTGTCAGCCTCAAATTTCCTGAGATCCAGTTCCAAACAACGAAACACATACACTGAAAGAAACCTTACACTCCGAAAACACTGTTCAATACAGATACCAAGACACTAATCATCTGATATCTGAGCCGTTCACAGTTTCTTTTTGTCATTTTCAGCTCTTAATGTCCTTTGTTTCGAGTCATACATGTGTTCATACAAACTGTGTTTTATGTGACACACAAAGCATCTTGCTTTCCGTGTTTTTCTTTCTCTGTATGAGAAAAGAAAATTAATGTAGCCACGTCACAACAGCAATCAAAACATACTTTTGTGTTATTTTTACTTGTGTTTTATTGTACTTATGTTTCCTTTTCAGGGCTGTTTAAAATCTACAAGGAAACATATAATCTCAGTTGATTTCTAAGGTTACGGCCCATCGCTTAAAGGCTTTCAACTTCCTATTTTCTGTTCTTAAAGCTAACGTTTGTACTCCTCTTTTAATATTCTGTTAGGCTCTGCTTGACTGTGTAGTACCTGTTAAAAATGAAATCTCTCAGCAGTAAATCCTTACCTTATTCTCTGGCTGCGTCAGATGAGAACAGGTGCACCGAGAGCTAACTCCCTTCACTCACCTGCCAATATGTAAGAATGAATCAGTGGTTGCCCTGGAAAGAGAAGCAGGGACGTACGGAGGAGGGCCCAGCGGAGCGACATTCACAACCTGCTCAACCTGCACCTACACCTGCTAGCAGAGCAACACGCCCTGAACCACATCCAGCAGGGTGCTGTGAAAAGGCCACAAAGAGCTGGTATGGAGAGAAACCAGTGAACAACAAAAGGCTAAAAGGGCTTTGGTTAGCTCCTTCCCACTTAATTGTTTCAAGTTCTCATCTACATGAGATCATTAGTCTTTAGTTGGCAGGTTAGGGTTGTGTATTCCCCCAAGTGGGGCGGAGTCTCGAGCCACCCGTCTCTTTGAGTCTCTTTCTCATTTCAATGAGAGGGGCTGGCATTGACAACTGTCGTCATGGCAACAGAAAGGCACCTGATGAGCTCGGGTTTCATCCACGCCTTTTGTCTCTGGTTTAAATCAGGCTTCCATGTGTGACGTGTGACTTTGTGTGAACTCACAGGTACCGTTCGTCAAGTGAGCTGGGATTGTTTGTCTCTCATTCCTCAGTCGAGTGAGTCATGCAGCGATTGAATTCATCTGAGCAGACGAGTGAGGCGGGTAAAGTGGCACTCACAGCCGCTGTGCTTTGGGTTGAGAACGAGGAGTGGCTGTACTGTTGTGTTAATGAAACCTGGAAGTACAAGTTCCAATTCTGAAGTTAGACAACAATTCCCCCGGAAAGCCCTGAACCCACTCAGTGAAAACATTACTCACTTTTGACTCAAATACCTGCTATAGGTTCAAATTAGCATCCGCAGCTTGTGTAAAGATTCCCCAGTGAAACAACTCAGGTTTGTCACATCTATAATTTTTTATGTAGCTGCAGTCAGAATGAACGGATCTGAGGAACTTTTACAGTCAAGTTCTAGAAAGAATACCTTACAGCTGATTTTTTCATTTTGGATTCAGAGCAACTTTTTCTAGTTTATCCAGATTTGATCTCTGAGCTGAGCATGTTAGCTAATCATCATTAGGGCGTAAACACACAGAAATGTTTATACCTTTAAGCAATATTTCACCACATATTTAAGATTTGGGGGTTCTGTGACGTGGCGTTACCATAATAATCATGAGAGTTGGAGGTGCAAGCACCAGTCACTGTCAAGAAATGTGGGAAAAGAATTATAACTGCAGGTTTCCACTGGATGCAAAGCAGCTCCTAACACTAACCCACTGGGAGCGTTTCAGACGTGGAACGACAGAAAAAGCATTCTACACGGCTGTCATGAAATTGCCTGAGAATTACAAGACCGCATGTAATTTCAGCAGCTCAACAAAGAGTAAGACAACTAGCCTAGTGAACTAGGAATGCTCCATTGGAACCTCTGCGCCCCCTAGCAGCATTCTGGCAGGCCACGCACAGCTCTCTATCAGAGTTTCAGACCGATAGAGCACTGTGATTGGTCCACAATGGTTGGTCAATCACAGTGCTCTATTGGCTTTGTGGGCCAATCAATATGCTCTATTAGTTTGATGGGCAGCATGATGCTCATTTTAAAAAGTTTTTTCGTACATTTTGGAATATTTGGACTTGGGCTTTATTAGAATCAGGAGCAGATAGATGTAATTAAGTCCTTTACTTAGAAAAAAGGTTGTGTTTTTGCCGTCTTCAACAGTGGACTGCCTCGTTGACCAACATCCGTTGCGGTGAGTATGTCAGTGTTTGCTGTCCAGTAGCATGTGGAGATCGTTTGAAAGACAATGGTAGAACCTGCCCCAGGACCGAGAGCTGTCAGTGGAGCGTTCCCAGACTAAATGACGTTTGTTTAGTCTGGATTGCCAGGCTTAAAGACGACAGCAAGTATCCATAAATGTCTGGTTTATTTTCTGTTTTGTTTATCTCGGCCACGGAGGATGATGACTTACTGTTTTTAGGAGTTAAGCACCTGGAAATGTGCACATGACTTTAATTTTGAAAGTTTCCAGTTATGTTTAACTGCCATGTTTGACTTACTGTCTGGCATGATCTGAACTTCTGAGCTTGACAAGTTGTGAAAGTTTAGTGTGTAAAAAACAATTCAAAGCACAAATCTGGTGGAGCGATGTGTCCCTACGCTCCTAGGACGTGTCAAAAACATGATGCTTCCCAGCCACAGGAAAAGCATCAGTCGACTATAACGACTATAATTGCTCCATGCTAAGCTTTGTGGACATTGCACAGCATTTACACATCCAGTGGAAAGGCCCAGCAACGTAGATTACATAGCTAACCTTTGAGCTAATTATTATGTAAACTGAAGTTCACTATTTTAGGTCTTCAGGATTGCCAGAAAACAATTTTTAGAGAATTTCTTTCATTTATATGTGTAACAACCTCTTTGTTTTGTGCTAAACGTATGCTTAAGTTTGCCAGCCTTTCAGTTAATTGCATAAGCAACTCTGCTAAACAAGCCAACTTTCACAGTCATAGAAGTCTCATTCCTCCCATTGGCTATCATCCCTAGGCCACATACACCTGATACCAGAGTGCACATTGCCATAGAAAACATGATAGCGTTAAACACCAGTCGCAGTTTCTAGGTCCAAATGTCATTTGTTGTCTCTAACTTCAAATGTTGGTTTATTTTTTTAATTTTGGGGGGAGGGGAACTGTGGTAGTTTGTCCTAAAGTTGAAGTGGTAGCAGCCAGCTGTTTCTCCTTCTCTGATAGTATTGAGCTGAGAACCTCTCGCACCAGTGATGTTCTGTACCTGAATACGTGAGTGGAGGACTCAGGGAAGTGCAGCAGTGCGATGGGTGATATTTTTTAATCTTCACAATATATTTAGCTATACTGTGTTAGAACATTGTTAGGAAGCATGGAAAGAGGGTTTGAAGCTAGCTTGTTTTGTTGATTTGCTATGGTAGATTTCAGACATGGCCATGCCCAAGGTGCACCCCCCCCCCCCCCCCCCCACACCCCCACACCCCCACACCCCCACCCCCCGTGCGCGACCTTGTGTGGACAAAGCGGGTTCAGAAGATGGATGGATTTCAGACTTGTGAAGTTACAACAAATCTTCACAATTTAAAAAAATGACAAATACCGCCTTACACATTACTGCAATGCATTTTCAAATCAAAAATCAAATCAAATCACTTTTATTGTCACGTCACATGTGCAGGTACACTGGTACAGTACATGCGAGTGAAATTCTTGTGTGCGAGCTTCACAGCAACAGAGTTGTGCAAAAATACAGTAATGTAAAAACAAGTAAAATATAAAAAATGACTAATCTAAGTATACAAATGAATAAAGTAAACAGTAAGATAAGAGATATAAAATATACAGAGGTTGGTATGTGCAAAACAGTGGCATTAATGTACAGTATGGATTGTGTAATGTTGGAGTTTCAGTAGTGAGGGTGAGGTGTCTGCGCCGTGTTCAGCAGTCTGATGGCCTGATGGAAAAAGCTGTCTCTCAGTCTGCTGGTTCTGGACCAGATGCTGCAGAACCTCCTTTCTGATGGAAGTAGTCTGAACAGTTTATGGCTGGGGTGACTTGAGTCCTTGATGATCCTCCCCGCTTTCCTCAGGCACCGCTTCCTGTAGATGTCCTGGAGGGAGGGAAGCTCACCTCCAATAATCCTTTCTGCACACCGCACTACTCTCTGGAGAGCTTTGCGGTTGTAAGCGGTGCTGTTGCCATACCAGGCGGAGATGCATCCAGTAAGGATGCTCTCAATGGCACAGCGATAGAAGGACCTGAGGATGCGGTGGCTCATGCCAAGTCTTTTCAGTCTTCTGAGAAAGAAGAGACGCTGCTGTGCCTTCTTCACTGTATTTTCCGTGTGCACTGACCACGTAAGATCCTCTGCCAGATGAACTCCAAGGAAACGGAAGCTGCTCACCCTCTCCACAGCGTCGCCGTTGATGGTGATGGGGGTGTGTATTCCTCTGCTCCTCCGGAAGTCCACTATCATCTCCTTTGTCTTTGTGACGTTGAGGGTGAGACTGTTGTCCTGACACCAGTGGGTCAGGGCGCTGATCTCCTCCCTGTAGGCCGTCTCATCATCGTTGGTGATGAGACCTACCACTGTGGTGTCGTCCGCATACTTCACAATGATGTTGGAGTTTCTCGTGGCCGTGCAGTCGTAGGTGTAGAGTGAGTACAGGAGAGGGCTCAGCACACACCCCTGCGGAGCACCAGTGTTCAGTGTGACGGGGGATGAGGTGGTGCCGCTCTGTCTGACCACCTGGCATCTGTCAGACAGAAAGTTAAGGATCCAGCTGCAGAGGGAGCTGCTCAGTCCTAGATCCTGCAGTTTCCTGTCTAGCTTCGAGGGAACGATGGTGTTGAATGCTGAGCTGTAATCTACAAACAGCATTCTCACATACGTGTCCCTCTTCACCAGGTGTGACAGGGCAGCATGGAGTGTCAGGGCTATGGCATCATCAGTGGACCTGTTGTGGCGGTATGCAAACTGTAGAGGGTCCAGTGAATCGGGCAGTGCAGAGCAGATGAAGTCCCTGACCAACTTCTCGAAGCATTTGCTCACGATGGGGGTCAGGGCTACAGGTCGCCAGTCATTCAATGTGGAGATGGTGGAGGATTTGGGTACAGGGACAATGGTGGCCATTTTGAAGCAGGCTGGGACTACAGACAGAGAGAGGGAAAGGTTGAAGATGTGTGTAAACACTCCAGCCAGCTGACCCGCGCATGACCTTAGGACGCGGCCGGGAATCCCGTCCGGACCAGTAGCTTTGCGTGCGTTCACCCTCCTGAAGCACCTCCGCACATCCTCTTCAGACACAGTGTGCGCACTGACGTCATCCGTGGTGCGCTCACTGTCCGGTCTCATGGAGTTCGCTGTGTCGAATCTGGCATAGAATGCGTTTAGATCCTCACACAGAGAGGCCGTGGTCTGCGGTGTGCTGGTTCTCCCTCTAAAGTCTGTGATTGTGTTTAGTCCCTGCCACATACTCCGGGGGTTGTCAAACTGTTGCTCCACCCTGTCTCTGTACTCACGTTTGGCTGCTTTGATCATCTTCCTGAGTTGGTAATGTGCGTGTTTGTAGTCTGATGTGTTCGCGGATGCAAAGGCGGTGCTCCGCGCCGCCAGCGCCGTTCGCACACCTCCATTAATCCAGGGTTTTTGATTCGGGAAGGATTTAACTGTTCTGGATGG